AGGGCCATCATCACCGTATAACTGTGACATTACAGACGTCTGCTCTTCCCAGTGCTGTCAGCAGAGCATGCCCATACCCTGCCTTACTGGTAACGGCTGTAGCTGAGACTGGAAGAGAAATATTCCTGAGGCTCCTTGTGAGGACAAGATTTAAACACCTGACAAGTCACCGCTATTGAAAGTATGTTCCTGTATTTCCCCAAAGACCGAGCCCTCTGTGAAAAGGACCAAACACAGACCAAAAGCATGGTCCAAGGATACAGTGTGCATTATAAGGCAATATTTTATTTTAAAGGAGGTGGACATAACAAACCCAACAAATCTCTTTCTGCATTTTTAATGGATTACTGCTGTGCATGAGCCAGCTTGAGATAAACATCACAGCAAAGATAACTTTATCTTTGCTGCGATGTAACATAATGATGACTTTACTTCGTAAAGCTCTTTGCTGTGGGAAAAAAGGATTTTCCCCAGCAAGGTATTTATTATTTCAAATTATAGGATATATTTCCGGTGCAATTTTACTGCTTTAATTTTCTCATTTTCTCCTTGTAGTCACTTTCTCTAGGGCAAGACACCTGCCTGCGTTGTCCGAAAGGGAACAGTGTAATTGAAAAAGGGGCAGCATCGACCCTTCGACGATTAAAGTTAACCTTTTCCCAGCGCCACCACTCTAGCATGGACATTTGAATGAAGCAGATGGATTTGCCAACCTCTTGGGCTGAAGTTTAATCTTGGATATTTTTGCTTCTCTGTACTTTTGCCAGACACAGCAAATGCTCACGGGACTGGATCTACTCTGGGTTGTGGTCCTGATGTTGGAATGAAGGTCTGAGCCTTTGATTTATGCTTGGAGCCGATTTTCAGAGCTGCAGCTACCACAGAAACCAGATCTAGTCTTCTGCGAAGCACAGAAATACAGGCTGAATATGAGGATCTGACTTAACTCCTTATCCATTCCTTATATACTAAATTGAGCTGGGAGTGAGGAGTGGAGGATGATGCATTAGCCGCTCTCAAGGACCGTGTGGTGCCCAGGGAGAGCACAGCACCTGGGCACAGTTGGGGAAGGCAGAGTACAAACCCCCGCCTCATCCAGAGACAAAGTGCAATACGTTGTGGTGATAATGGCCACATTTTATCTCAGCAAAAAATAAATTTCGTTGCTAAAATCGGGGTATTCAGGCAATTCGGGACATGGACTGCTAGCACAAAAACACGCTTTAAGAACCACTATGGTACCGACAATGAGTGTCTGAAGCGACGGTGCACATCAACTGTATCTTAAATGAAATCTAACACAAACTGCACCCGTAGGGAGAGGCGCGCAGGGTCCGGCCAGGCATGAGCTTTTGATCTTCCCTAGGAGGATGTGTGGAGAAAGCCACTCGCTTTCCTTGCAGGGGGCTCCAGGAAACCCAGGGCACCCTGGCAAATATTAGCTAAGAAAACATGTTTCGGGCTGACATCTGGCTCTGGATACAGTGCCTAAATATCAGTATCTTTCATGACTGCTTCACAGCAGGGAAAAATGAAATTCATCTTTTTTGTCGCACAATAATGAAACTCAATTTCTACAGGACCCTGGGGAAGAGGCGCCATCCATTAAAGAAAAACCTATCGACTACAGTACAAAACCACCACCAGAATCTCCTAGCAGGCTTTAGCTACCTGACACACACATGCCTTTAAATATCCTAAACCTGTACTTGTACACAGTAGTCGCTGACCACCCCAGATGTTTACAGCTGCTATAGATCAAAGGAATAGGCTTAACATCCAATAAAGCTTCAGCATTCTTGCATAAAATTAACCCAGCCTTAGCTAGTCAAGAATGCCACTTTTTAAACTAAGGGACTTAAAGATTATGAGAGGATTTGTACCCATCCATCACTTTTGGCCTGCTTTCATTTTATAAAGTATACTAAAAATCTTGTCAACATTTGATTGTTTTTAGACAAACTCATTTTATTTGGTAGCTGATATACTGATTTCCTAAGGGGTAAGATTTACAAAAAGAGCCATTAGGATATCAAGTCCATTGAAGCTGCACGTTATTAATATTGCATGCTGCGAGAAAGGCCAAATTAAAATGCAAAATTGTACCAGAAGCCCAAGCCATTTTAGTGCAGTTCTGTTTTATTCTGGAAGAGGGATACAGCTGAATTCTACCTACTTTGGGAGACATCCCTGGGGTGTGGGAATTAGTTGGGGGTAGGCACTCTGTGAACCTACGGAAAATGGCCCTTCCAAGAGGGATGGGAAAGGTTTCCCAGATGGAAAAACTCCCTTGCTGGGGAAGTGCTCCTCTACATGCAGCACCCTGCTACTGACCCCTTGGATCACGTACCTTAAACATCTAATTTTCCAGTTTCGCTGGCTGACACATAGCAGAACTTCAACTGCTCATGATTAGAGAAATTAAACCCTTGGTTTTAATTGGTGGTCTCCGGGATGGGTTTGTTGATGTCTCACGTAGTCTCCTGCCAGACAATGTTGTATTTTCCCCTTACATCACAAATGCTTTTATTTTCACCATTTTGATTTTTAAAGATTGCTTTCTTCATTTTGTATGTACCACCAGCAGCTTGATCTTCTCATTAAATTGACTTCAGTGTGGAAAAACACTAATAAAAGAAAAATGTCACCAACGCAACTGCTCGAGCGCTGAATAGCTGGAGCGCTCGGGATCACAAACAGCTGCTGCAATTATATTTAACTGCCCATTTTCTGTGCTTTGCTCACAATCAGATCTTTCTTCAAGAGCAGGTAGCACCATTTCTGCTTTTGTAGTAAACAAGTGACATGATTAGAATGACGAGCGGGCTCCATCTCTGTGTTTTAATCTCTAGAGGTGTCTCTACCTGATTGGGAAGCTGAAATTCTGTCTTTTTATTTACAGTGAGCTGTGCTCTCTCTCCTTTCTGAATGTGTGTATATGCTGGGACTTTTCTAAACTAGTTATTTATGTAGCTTCTCATTTCCACATGATTGTTTTATTGCATGATGTAAGTCCCCAAATGTGTGTTTCAAGCAGTTTTAATCTTTATTTTCTCTGTATAAACACGCAGTTTTCCTCAACAGAGGAAAATGGTTGCTTTTTCTTCTGACAGGAGTCAGGAATTTCCTCCACTGCATTTTTTCCTTTCTAACAAACTTCTATCAATCAAAATGACTGGAGAGATGAAGTGACCAAGCCAGGGAAAAAGATTTACAAGATTCATTGGACTGCTAAATTCTGTGTTAAAAAAAATAAACAGAAGCAATAAAAAGAAACAACTTTCGAAGCTTATTTTTAATGCATCATTAAAAACAGGCCATATGTGATTAAACAAATATCCTGCACCCTCATTTTAACTCTGCCGTCCTTCGAGAACTTATATGACTCCTTAAGTACATGACGTGTAGTCTGCAAATGGGACCGTGCAGGGCTCAAAAGCATTCGAGATCAAAGCAGTTTAAGAGAATCAGACTTATTTATTGGGTGAGCATGTGAATATAATTGATAAAGTAATAAAGTATTGCAATTACTTGAAGTTACTAAAGCTCACAGCCTTGTAAGTACCCAAATGGTATTTTAAGTTGCTGGAGCACCTTTGAGATCAAAGTAGAGAGAATAGTATTGCTAGTGAGTGGGAGTCTGAGTAGGAGTCTGAACAAAGTTGATAAGTAGTTTGAGGATTTTAAGTACTTCAGGGCACTGCTGCGTGAGCACAAAGTAATAGGACGAAATAACACCAGCTTGTCAGCGCCTGGTTTTCCAAAGCTGGGCTAGTGATGAGAAACTCAGAAGATGGTGATTTTAGCAGAGTGCCATCTAACCAGGTTCAACCAAAATAGTGATCCACTTGCGATGGTGCCAGGCAAACACCATCTAAACAGGATGAAAAACCCAATTATGAGTTTGAGGCTTCCGCCTAAAAGAGCTGGAAGGAAAACCTGGAGCTGAGCTCAGCACAGTTCCCCAAGGGCACCGCTGCGCCAGGTACGGTCAGGGGAATAACAGAACAGGGAAGTGCCACCAGGGATTAAGAAGAAACTGCAAAATGGAGACATACTAAGTATAAACTCTCTTTTTGTACTACAAGGCTGCCCGAGGCTGGTTGGTAGGATTGCAGATGAAAGGAGGTGGTGTGTTGCAGCTCTCAGCCATGAGTAGTTAAAGTGGAGAAACAGAGAGCAGTGTCCTTCAGCTAAAGCTAAGAAATGAAGGATGCTGAGAGATGTGCTACTGGGGACTCTACTAGCGCAGAGAGCCAGGCATGCACACACTGGGGGTGGAAACACATGGCTTGTCTGTACAGACCTCCGTACGCGCTGCCAGTCCACTCGCTGCCAGGAACACTAATTTGGCAGGAAAATAATGAAATGTTCTTTTTGATTCTTTCTTTGCAAGGTATCTAAACATGGAGAAACTTGGATTCAGGGGAGTGGGCATATAGCAGATATTGGTGGCTATTTTGGAAGATATGTGAAAAACATCAACAGCATCCCTTTTTTCTCTCTAACTGTAAAGACGACCATACTTCAGGACAACTCTGTGAAGGATCCCACACTCTACATGTTACCTGGGTATGGCTATCCACATGCACCATGTGAGATTTGAAAATAAGATTCTGTGACTATCCAGTACACTCCTAGCTAAGTGAGCCCCCAAAATAAGTTAGCAGTGAAGGAGAAACCAGCAGAAACCAGGTCACACCACTTGCAGAGACAGTAATGAGGCACAGCTAGATCAATCAACATCAGTGCATTACAAAGGACACAGCACTGTTAGAAAAATAACTGTCCTTCCAGCTAGTTATTATTCAATCACTGAGGTGGAAAAATTTCTCTTGCAACTTGATTTCAGGAGAAAGAAATGTTTCACTGAATCACCTCATACCTTTGAGGACAAAGTTCAATTTGCCAGCAGTACAAGCACCAGTATTCAGGAGAAAGACTGAAAGTGAGCAATTTTTGTTCACTAAAATGTAACGTAGAAAGAAACACAAATATACCTGCTTCATCATAGGATACAGTCAATTTTTCCAGCATTTCGCGATCAATTGATAAAATCTGCTGTTCCAGGATGGTTTGGTAAGACAGCACACTGTTCTCCTTGTCCTTCTCATAGTCTTGAAGATGTTGTTTTAGGACTTCAGGCAGGCGGGACTTCACATATTCTGCTGCCGACTATGCAAAAAAGAAGCAAAGGTTTAATTAATACATTTTATTTTCAGAAGCTTTACGCATACTCATAGCAAATTTATTTTTATTTTTTTTTTAGTTTAAAGCATTCTCAAATCTAACTCCTCATACTAAAACACTCTTAATGCTGCTAACTCCATGGTACAAAATCCACAGGTCGCTTCTCTGCCTATCGAAAACTTCCAGGGAGTCGGGGATATAGTGGACCAAATTCCCTGAGCTGAGGCATAACCTACTTTTCAGCAGGGAGTTTATGGCAGTCCAGAAAGAGTTACCCATGCTGGACTAGAGGCATACCACAACAGCTCAACTGCTTCATTGTTAACATATCTTGAAACTATAACTATGAAATATAATGCCTTTATTCTAAATTTTAAAGTACAAAGTGACAGAGTGGAATCCTTTGCTATTGATACACAGCCAGGCTCGGACAGGGAGATAGAAATGAATCTTTAACAGCATTACAAAATGATATATCTACATGCATCCAGACACAGAAAATTCTTTTACATTTTTTTTTCCTCTGACTGCTCAAGGCCATAAGGAAACAGAAATTAACACAAGGTGGCATGGTTGTACCGATGTTACGGAGCTTTGTGCGAAAACATCAACGGTAGTAACTAATAAGAGCATCTGGCTCTGGAGAGGTGTCTGTCCCCCAGGACCCTGCCGCCACTGGAACAGCTTCCTCCCTCAGGGCTTGGGCTCAGGTACCTCGGTAGAATCCAAACACAAACTTTCTGGTTTTTAAGCATTAGCATCCCTCTCCTGCGAGTATTACACCCCCACTGTCAAAGGGAATAGAAGGTCCCTCCTTCTGGCGTGGGTTTTGGATTGTTTTGGTTTTTTTGCTTTCCATCTCTGATATAAACATAACTGGAAAAGGAGGATGTAGCAAAGGCTGCTGCCCGGTGCTCCAGCTTTCCTGCCAACCTCAAGGCAAAAGAGAAAAATAAATGATAACAAGGTTATATTATTTCAGGCCTGGAACTGACCAGGAGTTACTTCTACTCAGCAACAGGCTCTTCCTGGGTTTATATTTAGTTTTCCAAAGTCAATTGCCTATTAAATTGCAGCCTTAAAATATCACTGAAGTTGTGTTCAATTTTTCTGCAAGCTAAGCCATGTGAGACGAATGAAATTATTCTAGGAAAAGTAAATGAACTCTCCACATGAGTACAGCATATTTAATGCTACATTTTAATAGTGGTTTTCATCCAAGAGAAGGCCAAAAGATACACTGTATACTAATTATTTTGGTCCAAGTTCAGGCCTTTGTGTGTAAAGCTTCCTTTGAGAAGAGGTTTTACTCTGCTGGGGGGGTGTGTGTGTGTATTTTTGTGCTCTCCCTAACACTGTGATTCTAAAGAGCAGAAAACAAAAGACAAATTTATACATATTCATTTTCTGAAATACGTCCTTTGCCAGCCGAGACAATATTTGTATCCTACTGGCTGTAAACGTGTAAGGAAAAATACCCATCCTGTCCCAAAGATCTTGCAGCCCAAGTAAAAGTCAAGAAACAGATGTGTGCGAGCAGATGGAAGACCATGGAGACCATCGGTCTTGTCCATGTGCAGCCCAATCGCCAAGTTTTTCCATAGGCATCGAGGCCGAGGATTACACCAAGGATTCCAGTCTGATCTCACAGGTGGGTTCTTCCCTTCGTGACAGCAAAACCCAACACTCTTGCTTAGTCCACTGCCTTTCACATTACGCCTAGATGTCATTAAAGATTTAAGCCATAAAGCAATGATGGAACTGATACAAACTCCTCTCCTGTCCTAGCAAGAAAGGTGATCACCACATCTGAGTAATTACATCCCTAGCTGCACTGCTGCGATGAGACAGATAGTACTATATTCTATTCAGTACAAAAGTAATTTTATCTCGATTTTAAAAAGTCCTTTCCAGTACCCGGAATATTAAAAAAGAAAAAGCGTGAGGGTGTGAGTGCATGTGTTTATGCGTGTGCTTGGTATTAAGGAAATGAAGAGGCTAACTGTACTGGGTGAATAAAAATTAAACAACATTAGTAATAGGTACAACTAATTGTACATTTGCTGGTCAGTCTTCATCATGACTCCTAAGAGAAAGCAACTTGGAGCCATAGGCACTGTGGCAGTGAGACAGGAAAGACCGGTGGTCTTGCTCATGCAGGCACCCTCCCACAGATCACTGCTTCAGAGCAAAAACATCACAGGAATGCACGCTGTGACCTCTCTTGGTCCCAATAACCTCCTATTTCCTGGCAGGAATTTATCCATTTCTTTTACAAAATTGAAACTTAGGCATACCCTATGAATCTGTTTTCAGTCTGAAGTGCCCTTCTCAAAATTAAATAAAAGATTGACTTTAATACCTTAATTGACTTCAGGATATTTCATCCTACCGTGGAAACTAATATTTCATATATAGAGAATAAATTTTAAAGTATCTACATACAATGAAATATACTTGCAGAGCTTATTCACAAAAATATCACATTTTTCTCTACTCACTAAAAAATCCTACACAAAAAACACATTAGGAAATGCTGAAATCCCTCACTGTGTGGTAACCTGAACCTCAAATGCAGCCAGCATCCTTCTGTAACTACCGAATTTGCCCACATTTTTTAATTGATGAGAGATACACATCCGAAGTAATTTTCTTTTTCTAAATTATGCTAACCGCCTGCTAAAATTTGCTCTGCTTTTCTGAAGTGTATCCTTCTGGGAGCTCCTTTGTATGTGGGGAAGTAAAGGTCCAAAATGGTTAATTAAAGGCTTTTTTATGAAGCTACTTCAAAAGTCAAGTGGTGACCTGGCAAAGCAGTCTCCTTACAGAGTTATATGGGGTGATTTTGGAAAGGTTTTCAACACACAGTAGAGTATTTGGTGTGTAGAAGACCACCACACCCATAAAGGACAGTTGCATCCCTGCTCATTGCAATCATGTCAGCTCAACGCATCCCATAGCCTGGCTTTACCAACCCGCTCGACTTTTAAAATTCAGGTTTTCACCAAAGCAAACGCAGGGACCTTGTGTATTTCTGGCACTTGAAACACTCAAGCAGGTCTCATTAAATTGTGTTATTGGCTGATAAACACCTGTCAATGGAAAACCCTCTCCAAGTGGCAATGCCCTGGGAATCTGCTTGCTCTTTGCCCCACGGTGCGGTTGGGTAGGAGGAGCAGGACGGTAGAGCACCAGGGCTGGCTCCCGAATTACGTGGGTGTCCGTGCAAATGCTTGCACACAGAGAAGATACACCTCCATGGGCACACATGTAAACATGCAAGAAGTGGGTTGGGGCAATCCCAAGCCCAAATACAGGCTGGGCGAAGAATGGACTGAGAGCAGCCCCGAGGAGAAGGACTTGGGAGTGTTGGTGGGTGAGAAGCTCAACATGACCCAGCAGTGTGCGCTCGCAGCCCAGAAAGCCAACCGTGTCCTGGGCTGCGTGTCCAGCAGCGTGACCAGCAGGTCGAGGGAGGGGATTCTGCCCCTCTGCTCTGCTCTGGTGAGACCCCCCTGCAGTGCTGCGTCCAGCTCTGGCCAGTCCACAACCCTGTGAAAAACAAGGACTGCAAACAAGAGCTATGGCAAGATCAGCACACTGGCACATAAAGCAACTGGAGGATCTAATTAGCTGGAATAGCCATTATTTATAAACACAGATTTCCAATTTTAAAAATGGAGACTTTATTGCCTCAGACCCACACTCCTGTGATTTACAGAGAGAAGAGGGAACCACAAATTTATGATCTTAATATTCTTGAGACAATTCATTCTGCCTGCCCAGCTACTGCAAACATCCAGAGACCACAGGAAAATACAGGATCCATTTTAGAGCATGGTATTGCTGGTGTAGCATGTACAACAACGGAGGATTTAAAAACCCATCAAGATTCCTCTATGGCATCTTGCTGCCTCTCCTTTTCATACGTTTCCCTCCCCTTCAAAGACATGTGGGTCACTACAATAAGTTTCCTTCTTCAGAGATGAACTGCTGGGCAAGAATAGAGTTCACCTTATGAAAAAGAGAAATTTCAACTTTATTCACCTCCTGGTTTACCTCAGGGAAAGAATTTTTTAAGTAGCATCAAGTGAGTTTTGGCAAGTGAAAGCCTGAGGTGGGTACAAATAAATGAACAAGGGTGTAAACCTTGTGGAAGACAGTGTTGGCCATGATAATCTCATGGGAAGGAAACATAATGAAGAGCAAAGTGGGATTTATCCATGGATCCTATTAGACATCTCCCTAAGAATTGTGGAGAATACACAAAAGGAGCTGGAAGGAAATTAGTACAGTATCAAAACTATAATATATTTGGGCGGTAAGAGAAGCTCGGTAAGTAATTCACAAGACAAGATTGTTAATACAGATGATACAGCTTATTGAGAAAGGAGGCTATGGAAATAAAGAAATGCCCTGCAAATCAAGAGAGTAGTTGCTCTTCTAGGTTCAATCTGTAAAATGGAGACAGATCTGCTGAAAGTTATCCCATAACAAAGAGGTGTACAGGGCACTACCACAGAGCAGGTCCACCAGATGCCGAACAACAAAGAAGGTAGACACGTTGGGTTTTTTTAACCAGGAACTGGAGTAATCAACCAAAGCACAAGATGTAATGAAATACTGCAACTACTCAAGATACGTTATAGGAAATATATTTGTCCGGCATCCTTGGAGCGTGTTGGTGATGATAGCAGCAAAGACCATGGTTTGGGTGCGGGATGGTCCAGCACTGAGAAGACCCGTAGGATAAGGAAGGCAAAAGAGAACTTGCATGAAGGTGACGATTAAACAACAGTTCGTGGTTCTTCAGGAGGAAAACAGGAAAACAACATAATAAAGACAAAGGACTTTAAAGGAAGGCCACTTCAAGATTTGTAAGGCCTGACAGTACAAAAGGACCAAAAGCTGCAAGTGAAAGGAGAAAAGAAGGTATGGGGAGCAAACATTTCCTTAGAGAAATGATGCAAATAAAAAAATAGCCC